GAGAGAAAAACATCCATGATGAGAGAGAACCATCGATCGGCTGCCTCCTGCACGCCCCACACTGGAGATCGAGCCTGCACCCTGGGCATGTGCCCTTGACCGGGAATGGAACCGTGACCTGCTGGTTCATAGGCCGATGCCCAACCACTGAGCCACACCAGCCGGGCCAGCATACGTTTATTTAACAGCCGAGATGTGTGCTAGATGCTCTGCCGGGGGTAGCGGGCTTGTGGGGGTTCAGAGGCGAGTAGAACAGGGCCCGAGGCCCCGGGACCTGATGGCCTAGCAGGGTGAAGGCCGTAAGCAGGGCCACCTCGAGGTTCTGCCGGTCCCCCCGCCACCTCCTCTCCCCTCCTCTCTGGTTCTGGCCACGTTTCCCACCAACCACCACAACTTTGCTCACGCCTTTGCGTCCCCGTGGAATGAACGGAGCTTTCTATTTTCTTCCCGCCCCACATTTTCAGTCCGGGCTCCAATGCCACTCCTTCCCGAAGCTCCCCAGGGTTCTTCCAATCCCAAACGAACGGTCCCTCTCTTCGGCTCCGTCCCAGTCACTTGCCACCTCCTCTCCTTGGAACATCGATCTGGCCCTGGCATTGTAGGTGATGGTGCTTGTGTGTCTTATCTCTGGAAGGACAGGCTGGTATCTGGTTCATTCATTGACCCCAGAACAATGCCTCGGGCCTGGTACACAGTGGGAGGAAAGATGGCCCAAGGCATGTGGCATAGGTAGGTAAGAGGGGAGAGCTGTGGGTTCTGAGAGGAGGAAACGGGCTCATTCTCTGGGGGAGGGGGCTGTGACTGGGGTACGGCAAGGCAGTCGGGCCTGTAGCTACACACAAGAACCCCCAGCTCCGACCCCTGGGTGTAAGGAGGGAAGGGGGTGAGGCAGCAGATAAGCTGACAGCAAGCCTAATTTCACTGGGCCATGACTTACACTTTTTTTTAATTTATTTTAAATTGATTTCAGAGAGGAAGGGAGAGGGAGGGAGAGATAGAAACATCAATGATGAGACAGAATCATGGATCGGCTGCCTCCTGCACACCCCGCACTGGAGATCGAGCCCGCAACCTGGGCCTGTGCCCTCACCGGGAATCGAGCCCTGACCTCCTGGGCCAGAGGTCAACGCTCAGTCACTGAGCCACAAGGGCGGGCCGGGCGGTCCATGACTTTCTTCCTTCTTGTCCACCCTGCACCCCCCACCCGGAGGTGGAAACCTGGCCAGGCAGGCAGCAGGGCAGCCCAGGGAGTGGTCCCAGGGGAAAGCCCTGTGCTAGGCCCTGCCCTTACCTCCCTTTACCCTCTCCTGCCGACTGGAAGCCCAGATCATCTGAGCGAACAGAGAAGCTTGGATTCAGAGAGGTGACGCGGCCAGCTGACTAAGTAAGCCTCATCGACGTGGAGGATTTAGAACTCAAACTCGGCCTTGGCAGCGTTCTCATGCTGGCGGAGGGTGCGAGCAACTTAGGAACAGCTCTCAACATGCCGGGAAGGTCAGATCCCAAAGGACAGGGCCCTGGGTGGGAAGAGCGACCAAGACCAGGGACTTCCTCGCCCCCTCGGCCTGTCTGACCGGCAGGAGGAGTCAGGCTGTCCGTGCCGACAGGCCCTAAGCTGGGTTGGCCCGTCGTTGCCCAAAACCCAGGGCAGAACAGAAGAGGGCGAGGGTCCCAGAGAGGCGGCCCATGAATACCACTGTTCCCAGAGTCGGGGTGATGGCCAGGCTTAGGGGACCTGATCCCCCGGCCCACCCCCTCCCCTAGTGGCACCCCAGGCAAGCTCCCTGCGTCTGGGGGAGAGAGGTCCTGTGCTATGGGGGTCTGATCTTAGGAGAGCCCATTAGACAGGACTCAGGTGGGGAAACTGAGGCCCGGGGAGCTCAGGTGTCTCTCCCACGGCCACACTGTGAGCTTGAGATAAATCTGGGACTGCAATCCAGACTTTCTGCTCTTCCGATGCCCTCTGGCCCGGGCGGGGCCGGGGCGCTCCTGCTGGTCTCCGGACCTCAGGAGGGCAAAGGGGAGTCCG